AAACTTTTCTACTCTATTATTTACGATTTGAGGAATTCAATGATAGTGTGTCCAAAAATTCAGAGATTGCTCTAAATCTCTCATATTCATCATCGTCTAAATTCTACTTGATACACCCTTGTAGTGTGCTCTGTGTGTAAGTAAATACACATATATACATATTTTTGGTTGATTTTTTATTTTGTGTTGGTGAGAAAGAACGAAAGAAGACTGGCAGGAAGAGACAATTACTGTAAAACACCACCACTAAAGCATCAGGATTCCAAAGTGTAAACAAACTTACAGCAGAAATGACTCACAGAGAGTCCTGTGCAAGGGCTCCCTTACCTTGTCATGGACTGTCATGCAGCTAGCTGCGTCCTTCTGAAGAATTTCAGTCACCCCATTGGAAAGCCTCTCATACTTCAGTTTGGGTTCCTCCTCACTCTCTTCTTCCTGCAGGAAAAGCAGAGAAAAATAACAGCCATCATGGATCTATCTGAAATTGTCAAAGACTCAAAACGTATTTCTTAAGGGGGACCCAGAGATGGTTCCCTCAATGACTGTCAATAACTACAACTCCAGCTAAAGGTTAGGATCTTCATGTTTCACTGTTCCAACTGTATCAACTGCTACAAGTGCACTGGCAGAATAAACTCAGAAGTTGAAAAGAAGATTATACATACTTACTGTAAACAATAATCAACTTTTTAATATTATAGTAAATAGACAGTGTCTGGCCCACTGTGCACACTTATGCCAATAAAAGGTGAGTGGGCAAAATACTTGTCAGTGTGACCTCATGGTCATAAAACACAGCAGTAAGACAGGAATACAATAAACCTCTAAAAGACATTAATTTTGTATTTCCAGAGTACACATTTTTGTCAGATTTGAGAATATCTCATTTTAATTAGAAAGATACAATTTTAAAAAATTAAATCAAAGTGAAAAAATTGGAAATTTTATATAAACAAAGCGTATTCTTCCCCTTAAACATATTTTAATATTTATTTTAAACAGCTGATAATNGTGGTTTTTAGGCCAAGTTACCTTCTGTTTATGAAAACTAAATTTAATCATTCAGATTAAATTATTGCTGCTCCCTTTTATGCGCTCTTAAAAATTTATTTAACTTCCAAATTATTAAATCATACTTACATTTGCTAATTTTTTGACTACTTAAACTACATCAAAAATGCAAAACTGGCCACAAATCACAGATGTAAATACAAATCCTTTAAATGTGACTCTCTTTCTAGTCATCCAAAGCCTTGCGCTTTTGTAACAATTGAAATTTTTTTTTTTTTGAACCTGAGAGCACTTAAAATCCAGGATGGGCAAAGAATAAATTTAATTAGCATCTTTCATGTTTAATTACAGAAATTTGACTTATTTTATAATCAGATTGGACATCCAATCCTTCTCAGCCATCCCCAAGCATAACTGCTTTTACTTTGCATGATTGGGATTTTTGTATGTAAACTGTAGACACCACAGAGGAACTTCAGGAAGTAGCACCTTTCAGATGTGGTCACCGGAATTCTATCATCTATGTCTCACGTGGCATTTTACAGTATTCTAAGCAGCAGAGCAGGGAGTGCCTTCCATTACACAGGAGGATGTAAGTCCGGGAGTTGATGTGACTTCCCTGGAAACAGTCAATAAGTGGCACAGCTAGGGCCAGAATTAAGAGCTAAAACACTCTCCATTGGACCAGAAACCTCATAAATGGAACATGGGCCTCAGATTAACAGTGCATGTTCTAAAAGTTAGCATAGGCTACAGTTCCAGCTGTCAGGCGCCTTGGCCAGGTTGCTTTAAGTCATTCTCCATTTCGTCCACTCAGCAGTTATTCAACATACAACACACAAAAGCACCTAGGATAAGCACAGACAATAAGCAAGTGTGACTTAAAAGGATGACAGTGTAATGAGGGAGATATGAAAATTAATTATAATTTAAAGAGTCTGCTTAAAATGGAACACCTCTAAGACCCTATGGTGTCAGCTGTGCTGAACTTGAACTTGGAAGGAGTCAGACTACAGACACAGAGGCAGATGGGGTAGGCTGTGGTAACGGACAATTTCAGGCAGAGTGGACACAATTTGCTCAAAGGCATGGAGTTACAAAAAAAAGTAGAACAAAGTCAAGAAATTACAAGTCGTTTTATATGGCTGAAGCATCCAGTTCATGTCCAGGGGAGAAGACCGGTGATGGGGCAGGAAAGGTTGGTTAACAGGAGGCATTTGAATATTTATGGAGCAATGAAAGGTAGACAAGTAAAGGGAAAGGGGTGTGTGTCCAAATCATAAACACATCAGGAACAATAAAGACATCTAGGAAGGAGGATCAC